TGGGGGGGGTGGGGGGTGGGGGTTGGGGGTGGAGGTGTCCCCATTCCCAGGCAAAACATCAAAGCTCGGGTTTTTTTAAACCATGTCGGTGTCTGTTTTTCCCTCGGCAGGTTACCCACCAGGCGGTGGTGGACGTCAGTGAGGCGGGCACCAAGGCCGCGGCGGCCACGGCCACCAAGCTCACCACCCGCTCCAAGGACGGCTCCTCTCGCACCATCTGCTTCAACAGGCCCTTCCTGCTGCTGATCGTCGGCAGCGCCGCGCAGACCACGCTCTTCCTGGGCAAAGTGGAAGATCCCACCCAGTTCCCGGCGGGGAAAGGCCTTTCGCGGATGACACGATAACAACGCACAGGAAATAAACAAACCGCGTGGCCTGCAGATCCCGGGGACATGGGGACAGGCCTCTGTGTGAGGGTCCACCTGACCCCGTGGAGCTGCATGTGCTGCCCCGAGGCCACTTTTGAGGCTCAGTCACCCCAATCAGCAGAGATCCGGTCACAGACCAAGCCCCTGAGCCCAGGCACGCCCCCTTCCATGCTCTCCCAGGCGGCTGGCTTGCTGGGGTGTGTCTGGGTTGGCATATTTCCATTCCTTAGCCCCTAGGGGTGGTGACATGCAGGCCAGTGGCCTGTACTTCAGAATCACAGCAATAAACCTAAAACGTGAGTCTGGCCGCACAGCGCTCCCACACGCCTCCAGGGTCTGGATTTGAGAGTGGTCTGGTGGGTAAGTCACAGAGGTCAGGCTGTTGTTATGCAGTATTTCAGTGGCTGCCTGAATTCATCTATTCATTCAACAAAAACGCACTGGGCACCTCATACGTGCCAGGAATGAATCAGGCCAACAGGCTCCCAGTTTGGGGACACAGATGGGAGTGGTAGACCACCTCCACCCTGATGAAATGAAACCTGTAAATGCATGTGGTTGTACCGGCCATGCGGAGTGCTGGGAAGGCCCTCACTAGGATGGTCGGATGAGGGGAAACAGGCGGCGAGGGGGTGCTTCTGTGAGCACAGGCCCATCGGAGGGACAGAAAGAGGCGCTGTGGCTGTGGTGGTTGAACAAGGTCAAATGGTGTCAGACGTCGGCCAAGAAAAGGGGTCTGGGTTTCGTGGGAGGTGCCATTAAACCGGCTGAGTTTCTCCAACAGGAAGATGAGGGTTAGTGTCTGGGTTGGGAAGACCTTTCTGGGTGCTCACCTCAGGGTTCCATCCAGACTGGTCGCTGCAGCTGTCCTCTCGGCCCTGACACTGTCGCATGCGCACACAGGGCCCTCGGGTGCTCGGCCTCCTCCCTGCTGCTTGGAGGGACCGTGGCCTGCTCCTCCCACTGACTCCTCAGCGCCACGCATGGGGCGAGGGGCTTTGGGGGTTCCCCACACAGGCTTCTCCGCCCTCCTCTGCCCCGTGGGCTGCTCTGGCTCCTTCCCCTCACCCGCCCGGCATGACCCAGGGTGATGCCCGCAGCCTCCAGTGGAGCCTGGGGTTCTGGGGGCCCATGTCTTCACCCCGATGTGTTGAGGGCCTCTCGGTGGCGTTTCCAAGCTCTTTTACAGAGAGAGAGAGAGAGAGAGAGAGAGAGAGAAAGAAGAAAGAAAGAAAAAGAAAGAAAGAAAGGAAGGAAGGAAGGAAGGAAGGAAGGAAGGAAGGAAGGAAGGAAGGAAGGAAGGAAGGAAGGAAGGAAGGAAGGAAGGAAGGAAGGAAGGAAGGAAGGAAGGAAGGAAGGAAGGAAGGAAGGAAGGAAGGAAGGAAGGAAGGAAGGAAGGAAGGAAGGAAGGAAGGAAGGAAGGAAGGAAGGAAGGAAGGAAGGAAGGAAGGAAGGAAGGAAGGAAGGAAGGAAGGAAGGAAGGAAGGAAGGAAGGAAGGAAGAAAGAAAGGAAGAAAGAAAGAAAGAGGAGTGGTGCTAAGAAGCTTCTAGAAATCGCTCCCCTCCCCCACTCACAGGAGAGAACAGCTGACCCAGGACAGGCCCGGGCCCCGGACTGAAGCCCAGACGTGGGGCTGCCCACTGTCCCTCTCCTGGCTGTGGGGCCAAACCTCACTCCTGCACAGCGCTCCTCTCTGTCGACAGGATCTTATGATTATTATGCTTCATGGCCGCCGGGTGGGAGGGGCGTGGGGATGGACGAAAAGATGAGGAGGATTGAGAAGTACCCCTGCAGGTATTACATTATTGATCACAAGATTAACATTTCAATTGGTGGGTAAGGCTGACTGCCCTTCCATAATGTGGGTGGGCCTCATCCAGTCAGTTGAAGGTCTTCATTGAGTAAAGACCCACCTGCCGGGAGCAAGAGGGAATCTACCAGCAGAGGCCTTGGGCCTTGAACTGCAACATCCTCTCTTCCTGGGCCTCCCGCCTGATGGCCATCCTCCGATATCAGAGAACCAGTTCCATACATCCGTCTCTCTCCCTCTCTGCTTGCCCTGGCCAGGCACTGCACATCATGCTTTGTTCCCCCCACAGCTCTGCGAGGTGGGCTGTACAGAATCCAAAACGCGCGCCTCCCACAGTGTCTTCCCTGCCACGTGGGAAGGTAGGTAAAGGGCCAGGGAGTTTACATGCCAGCCAAGAGTAACTGATTTCTCCTCAGTGAATGCTCTCATTCATTCAAACAACAACCGTGTCTTCATGAAACACGCGGAAGGCTCACAGCACTGCATGGACCCACAGGTGGGGTTTCAAACACTGGTAGGTATAGCAGACCCCCTCGGGGCCTGGCCCAGATGTCCTTGGGTCTGACCTTGAGCGTCCAGGGCTCCCACCCGGGCTTTCTTGTGCCTCACACACCAGACAGGCCAGAGGCATGCAGCCCCCGCAGGCTCAGACTCAGCCTGGGAGGAAAGGGAGCCTTTACGTCTCACAAGTGCCTCTTGATTGGAACCACTGCACCAGCCGACCAGCTTTCCTTTTGCTTCATGGGTGTGATTAAACACTTCCTCTTAACAGTGATTTGTTTTCATTATAAAGAAGATACATGCTCTTTGTGAGAAATTAGGAGAATACAAAAGTATACGAAGAAGAACGTAAAAGTCACCTCCATCCCGTCACCTCAAGATTCACTCATAAACAGATATTCATCTGGTTCTAGGCTTGGCTCTAGAACCGGGGACACGCGGTGAGCGAGTCCATGATCCACTTTACGGAGCTCTTGGGAGAGGGGAGGGGATTGGAGGGGAGGGGAGGGCAGGGCAGGGGAGGGGAAAGCGGGGAGGGCAGGACACTTTGCTCGGTTTTCTGAGTTCCCTCCCAGGCTGTTCTCTGTGCACGGACTCTTTATTTGAAGTCTTAGGGAAGCACTGCGTGGTCAGAGGTGAGGGCTTTGGCCGGGGAGGCAGACCATCTCTGAGTGGCCCCAGCACCCAGGTCACGGCATTCAGTTAAGTTCACAGGCCTCAGCTTTCCTTCTGTGAAGTAGGGAATGATTGTGCCTCTCTCACATTCCTTTTTTCCAGTTGTACTGAGAAGTACTCGCCACATCGCTGTGTAAGTTTAAGGTTTACGGTAGGATGGATTGAGTCACATGTGCTATGCATGCTGACGGGGCAGGCTGAGTTAGCATCTCGCATTCCTAGGTGAGGGCGCTGCTTAAAGACCGCTGCCCGGAGCACACAGCACCCGTAAACGATGGACAGCAACCTCCCCCGACCCCTGCCTTCAGCACCCCTGGCCGGCCGGCAGCACCCGTGTCGGAATCTCCGCCAACCCAGCGGGTCCAGATCATACTCGCTGTTTGCTGCTGGGCCGGCGGGATGGATACGTGGAAAAAGAGGTCCCTTCCTGTTTGCTAATCACCCAGGTCCCTTCCTGGTTCCAGGAACTGGCCGGACAAATATTGACCCGGCTGCTGTGATCTGCAAACACCATTCTCCGTGGTTGGAGGCCGCGCAGCACCGAAGACCAGGGCCCGCCTGGCGCCTCTCTGTGAGTCCCATATGCACGGGGAATGAAGGCAAGGTGTCTCTCTCCCTCTCTCTCTCTCTCTCTCTCTCTCTCTCTGGCTTTAGCAGCAGGGATGGGAAGACCGAGTGCCCCTAAAGGAGAAAACGCCATGATGTACTATTCTAAGGGTTGAAGGAGAAACCTCAGGTTTTAAATAACCTTTTATGAAAAACTTGGTCTTCAACATTTTTGAGAGAGGAACTCCCAGTAATGCTGGCAGACAGAGGAGAAAACAGAACAATACAGCCCAAAGCCAGATGACAGCACTGACGCAGCAGATGTCCTAGGGGCCCTGTTGTTTGAAAAGGGCCCTCTGGGAGCCTGGTCTGGATCTGACCCTCCCTAACCCGGCAGGTCCCTGGGCCCCGCGTCTCGGTATCTCCACATGCACAGCAGGGATGCGAATGCCTATGGCTTAAGGTTCTCCTATGGCCACTGAAAGGGCATGAAGCAAGTATTTCTCCAAGGGGGCCTCTGGGCAGGACTACTCTCCAGCACACAGGATGGCCGGCCTTTCAGAGCGTCCTGCCCCCCACTGGACTCCAACAGCACCCCTGCTCCGTCTGAGATGGTCCCAGACACACCCTCCCCTGCATTGCAGGACACCTCCGGCTGGGACCACGGGTACGATGCATCTGATAGCCCCACAAATAAACAGGACGTGGGCACACTGTAGTTAATGAGTGCAGTGCTTCACTTCCTCTGGGTCTCTCTGGAAAAGGAAGAGCAGATTGGGTGGAGTTACCCCGCCTCAGTAGAGGGTGAGATGAACCCTGCGCACACTCCTGTGCCAGGCGCCAGGCCACGGCAGGTCCTGGAAGCCAACGTGACCCGCCCAGGAGGCAGGCATTTCCATTTGCATTTTGCAAATGGGGACCCCGTGGCTCAGAGAGGTTCCTTTGCACAGTGTCGCTCAGTGAGTGACTGCGGGGCCTTGATCCAGACCCAGGCCTGGCGGCGGCTCCGTCCCCTTTGGGACCAGACCCCCGAGTCTGGGACGCCTGGTGAGAGTAGGTAGGAAACGGTAGCCCACTCAACGGGACAGGGAGAATAAGCCGGAGACAGTTTCGTCATAGTTGTATTTCTTGTTTTCCCCCGGGCAGACCAAATTTTCAACTGCTCTGCTTCTTCCAAATCCCCCTCAAAAGAAAGCCCACGGTGAGCGGAAAGGGTGGTTAGCGGAGAGGGTGGTTAGCAAGCCACAGCAGCTGAGCCGCGCAGGCCTCTGATCGGCGTTTCAACATCACAGTGTTTCAACATCACCAACGCCAGGGCTGCATTCATCTCCAGACCACTGGCCTTGGGGTTCGGCAGGGCATTTAGGGCACAGGCTCTGTAGGCACCTGCAGAAATATGGTGTCTCCCACACCACCTGGCGCTGGTAATCTATCCAGAGGCCACTGGTCTGGGCAAATGGTATTCAGGTGCTGATTAGGACACACACACAATCTGGACAGATGGACAAGGGCCGCTGAGATGGAAGGGGGCGGCGCAAGTGTCCGTTTTGAAGGGAGCAGGGGACGGCACTCTCCTCACTGGGACATCAGGTGCGGAGTGTGGTGGCAGCATGGGCTCTGTGAGCACCTGGGGGGGGGAGGAGGGGAGACCCTGAGAGGGGCGGGGCACTAGACAGGGCAGGGCGAGCAGAGACAGGCATGTCTCCACTGCAGCTTCCCCTCAAGCTGAGCTGGCCCCTCAGGGTGGAGCCTGAAGCAAGAGAGACGCTGGACTAGTGGCCTCAGCTGTCATAACCCAGGACCGCAGACGGGGTGGCTTCAACCACAGAAATGCACTGTCTCCTGGTTCTGGAGCCAGAAGGCCAAGGTCAAGGTGTGGGCGGGGCTATTCCTTCTGCGCTGAGGGAGGCCGTGCGGGCCTCTCCGGTCTCTGGCTGTTTGCTGGGGCCCGGGCTTGTCCATCTCTGCCTTCCTCTCACGGCGTTCTCCCAAATGTGTCCAGGTCTAAGTTCCCCTTGTTATCAGGACGCAGTCTTATTGGGTCAGGGCCAGTCTAAGGACGTCAGCGTAACTAGTTACTACATCTCAGTGATCCCCAAACAGGATCACACTCCCAGACACTGGGATCAGGACTTAAGCATATGAATGGGGGGGGTGGGGCACAATGAAACCCATAACAGAAATCTTTCCAAAATCTCTGCATTAATTAAGATAGAGTTTGAGCCACGGCATGTGACAAGAGGTGCTCGCGGTAATGAGACTGATGGAGGCAGAGGTGATCTCTCTCACGTCAGCCCCCAGGCTCCATCCATCTCTGCTGAGGCTCTCTCAAAGGCTGCCCTCATCCACAAGGCCCCCGGGGCTGCCCATCACAGCCACACTCCGGCTATGGAAGACCAATGTGGAGAGGGCACGCCTCCCCCTGCCAGGGCCTGTCCCAGGAGTTACACACGCCTTCCCCTCCTCTCCGACTGACTGGCGAGATTATAGCTCATGGTCACACCCAGATGCAAAGGAGGCCCAGCAACAGGCATTGCCACCATGTCCTAAACATTCGCTCAGGAGTTCTGAGCATCATTCTCATCTCGTTAAAACGTAATGAATTAGAGGAATGACTGGAAAGAAGGGAAAAAAGAAAGGGAGG